AGTTCCGACCTCACTTGGTTCCCAAGTCCAGGGTCCCAGGGTCACAGGGTCCCTGAGTCCCAGGGTCCCAGTCCCAGTTGCCGGGGTGCAGCCGCTTCACCCTCCTCTCGCCACCGCCCCGCTGGCCTGCCCCATCCCTCTCGATGCAACTTTTCGCCACCACTGCAGGAGGTAAGACGGGGGAGAAGGAAGGATAGGAAGATCCTCCTCCTCCTCCTCCTCCTCCTCCTCCTCCTCCTGCTCCTTCTCCTCATGTTCCTCCTCCCTCTCCTCCTCCTCCCTCTCCTACCTCTGGAAGTGGTGATGGAGAATCGGCCCGTCCCCTCTGACCCCCACCTGCTGGGGCTCCTTCGTAGCCCGTGGCACAAGAGTCTAAAGTCTGCCACTGGTGTGGCTGGCGCGATCTGGTGGCGAACAAAAACCGTCTCTTCTCAGCACGTTCTAAACATGGCCGCGACGCAAGCAGTGACCACTTCGCGAGCGAACGTCTCTTGGTCTCCCAGCGGTCCACGGCGAGACTCGGATGGTATAAACCATTGCCTTAGCTGCGCGCAAAGACGAGGAAGAACGCTCCCCCCCTTCCTTTTCCTCCTTCCTCCTGCCTTCCGTCCGTCCTGCCTTTCCTTCCTGCTTTCCTTCCGTCCTTCCTCCTCCCCATCCTCCTCCTGCCCATCCTCTTCTTCTTCCTCCTCCTTCTCCTCACCCTCATCAGCATCATCATCAGCAGCGGCATCATCGTCAGCAACATCAGCATCATCATAATCATAACCAGAATCCGAATCCTCAGCATCATCGTCATCACCATCACAAATATCATCAGCAGCAGCATCAGCAGCATCATCATCAGTAGCATCATCATAATCATACTGATAATCAGCATCGACATCATCAGCATCACCCTAAACATCATCATTGGCAGCAACATCAACATCAGCATCATCAGCATCAGCATCATCGTCGACATCGGCATCGTCATCATCAGCATCATCAACACCATCAGCATCATCATCACCAGCATCATCAACAGCATTATCATCACCACCATCACCAGCAACATCATCAGCAGCATCATCAGCAGCATCATCATCATCAGCAGCAGCATCACAATCTTGCGCATCATCATCATCAGCACCATCACCATCAGCATCGTCATCGCAATTATCAGCAGCATAATAATCATCAACAGCATCATCATCTTCATCGTCACCATCATCATAGTCATAATCAACAGCATCATCAACATCATCATAATCCGCCGACCACTTGTGGGTCTCTAGGCGTGTGAGAGACTTCCCCCCCATAACCCCCCCCCCAGGGATCCTAAACCAAAGATTTGACCCCCCCCGGCCCCGGGGCACCCACCGCCGAACGCGCCATGGGGGAGCAGAAAACCCCAAAACAAGCCAAAAGCGCACAAACGGGCCCACGCGACGGTCCAAGAAGGCCCAAAGAGGCCTCCAAGACTGCCCACGAGGGCCCCGAGACGCCAAACGAGCGCTCCAAAACGCCAAAGATGGCCCAAAGACGGGCCACGAGGCCTCCTAGACGGCCGAGGAGGACCCCACGAGGCCCCAAGAGGCCTCCAAGATGCGTCCCAAGAGGATCCCTAGACGCAAAAATTGGCCCGTTCCCTTCGTAATACGTACGATTTTCACAGATTCGCCTTCTGGGTTTTCCGATGCTCCCAGACGGCCCAAGAGGCCCCCAATACCGCCCCAAGACGGCCCAAGAACCCTCCAAGAGGGGCCCAAGATAGCCCAAGAGGGCTCCAAGACGGCCCAACAGGCGTCCAAAACGGCCCAAGAAGGCACCCAAGACGGCCCCAAGAGCGCCCCAAGTGGCCTCCAAAAGGGTTCAATATGGTCCCAGACGGTCCAAGAGCGATCGAAGACACCGAAGATGGCCTCCAGACGGCCCAAGATGCCCCCAAGAGGCCCCAAGGGGCATCCAAGATGCGTCCCAAGAGGGCCTCTAGACGCAAAAATTAGCCCGTTCTCTTCGTAAAACGTAGAATTTTGACAAATTCGCCTTCTGGGCTTTCCGACGCTCCCAGACGGCCCAAGAGGCCCCCAAGACCGCCCCAAGACGGCCCAAGAAGCCTCCAAGAGGGCCCCAAGACAGCCCAAGAGGCGCCGAAGACGGCCCAAGGAGCCCCGAAGACGGCCCCAAGAGCGCTCCAGGAGCGCTCCAAATGGCTTCCAAGAGAGCTCAACATGGTCCTACACGGTCCAAGAGCGATCGAAGACACCCGAGATGGCCTCCAGATGGCCCAAGACGTCCCCAAGAGGCCGCCAAGATGCGCCCCAAGATGGTCTGTAGACGCAACATGTTTCCATTTCCTGCGTAATACGTATATGTTTCACAAATTCGCCTCGTGGGCTGTCCGACGCTCCAAGACGGCCCAAGAGGCCCCGAAGACCGCCCCAAGACGGCCCCACAACGGCCCAAAATGGCCCCAAGACAACCCAAGAGGTCCCCAAAACGGCCCAAGAAGGCTCCAAGACGGCACCAAGATGGGCCCAAGAGGGCAACCAAACATTGAAAAATCTAGCTTTCCGCCCCCACGAACCCCAGGGGGCCCCAAGAGTGCCCCAAGAGGCCGCCAGAGGCCCCCAAGAGGCCGCCAAGACGCCCCAAGGAGTCCCCAAGAGGCCCCCAGGAGGCCCCCAAATGACCCCCAGACGCTTCCGTATTGCGAGCCGTCAAGCCAACTGCAATGCACTCCGCGCATACAGCCTTGCTCTTCCTCGCGACGTGCTCACTATCTTGCTCGGCGCTAATGTGCTGCTGCCGCGCGAACTGTTTCGTGCGCGCTGCGAACGTCAACAGCCTCTTCACCCGTTTCGACTCATCTGCCTCATCTTTCGCGGTGATGCCTCGCTGATCACAGCTTCGGCACACTACTTTTGCTCCTTTCGTCTTCCGGTGGTCCTCCACTTGGTTGCGGGTCGAAAGGCCGACCTCCCAGAAGGACACCCCGCACCCGGGTGCACAGCACGCAAGGCGCTCGCAAAACACGCCCCAGACCACCGGCATCACGCAAACATTTGGACCCCCTACGTATCTGCCACCACCCGCGCGCGACACCGCACCCTCACACAAGACGCCGCTGGTCAGAAACTCCTGGCCTCGCAACACTCACAAAAGGGGTCGGCGGATGTGGCGCAAGCCTGTAGAATCATCATCCGTAGCCATTTTGGTTCAAGCCTTCGGGGCAGCTTCCATCGGGCGGCTGGTGCGGTTTGTGATCGCGCGGGAAGCGGCCCCCTCGCGGGAGGCCGCCGCTGGCGGCGATGTGTGTGCAGCCCGAGCGCGGCACGGCGGCAGAGGCGCCGAGCTGGCCAGGCGTGGGCCCGTGTGTCGTGCGACGTGCTCGTCCACGACCTGCAGCGGGCCGCGCGCTTCTGGCGGGGCCGCTGCGAGAAGTTGGTGGAGTGGCTAGGGGGATCCCGACACGGCGGAGCGCCTGGCGGTGATGGCGGTGCACTTGAGGGACACGGTGCGCAGCAAGGCCATCGAGTCGCCCGTCGACACGTTGCGGAAGAACGTTGCGCTCCACGCGGCGTTGGCGCCTAGGCCGCTGGGGACGGCGACGGCGCGCTCGCTACGCCGAGTCCAAAAGGGGCCCAGGCTTGTGGCGCACCCCGCGCTGTCGGCGGTTGGCCTCGCCGCAGGCGGGGTGAACGACGCGGTGCACGACGGCGAGAACGGGACGGAGCTGGACGGGAGAAGAGTTGCGCGACCAACCCCCTGCTGGCGGTGCCGCCCTTCCTCTCGCTCGACAAGGAGCTCAGCGATCATGGCACGATCGCGACGCACGAGCTAGCGGAGAAGCAGGGCGCGGCTGGCATGCAGTGGCAGTTGCGAGAAGGAGCTGGCGGTGAAGCGGAGCCCACACGTGATCAGCTACAGCTCGGAAATCAGCGCGGCACCAACATGGCGATGTTGAACGCCCGTGCTAAGATCGCCACGGAATGGCTGGCGGATGGCCCCCATGAGGGCGGCGCCCCACCAGCACGGAAATTGGCCGAGTCCCCGCCCGATTCGGCCATCCCGCGCGCGGGCGCGGGCGTCGCTGCCGCCGAAGTTACCATGCGGCCCGAGGAGGCGCTCGTGGGCACGATCGAGCACGAGGAGGAGCACGGCGTGGAGGCGATGCACAAGGGGGAGCTGACGGCGGCGGCGGCGGCTTCGGAGGCGGACGGCGACTCCGACACGCCGCCCCCCCTGCAAACTTGCGTGGTCGACCTCTGGGAGCGCCTGGAGGATGCCACGCAGGGTATCGAGACCACCATGAAGTGGGATGGCGCCCGCGCGACCAAGCGCGGCATGGTCATGTACCGCATCTCGCAGCTGGAGGCCCTGTACGTGGAGACCCAGCGGGCGTTGGTCGACGCCGACGACGACGCAGACGAGCAGGAGGCCAAGCAGGAGCGTTTCGAGATTGGGGAGGCGCTCGCATCGGCTTGGTCTCACATTGACACGCTTAAGTGAAGGCCAAGGGGCCTACGGGTCGCCTATCTGGCTGCTGCGCGGACGCGCGCGAACGCCATCCATATCCCTTGCCTATAGCACTGAGAAAAATGCGTAGAGATGCCCTGTTCTCGACGGCGCAGCGTGCCCGCGGGCGCGTGGGAGGGGCATCGGTCTGTGCAGCCTTTGGCGGTGAACGTTCGCTGTATTGCGACGGATCACCTGTGGAGAGCGCGATCTGCATCATCATCAGCATCAGCATCAGCATCAGCATCAGCATCATCATCATCATCAGCATCATCATCATCAGCATCAGCATCATCATCATCCTCATCGTGATCATCCTATTCCTGCTCCTCCTCGACCTCGACCTTCTCCTCCCCCTCCTCCTCCTCCTCCTCGTCCTCCTCCTGCCCCTGTTCCTCCTCCTCAATTCCTTCTCCTTATACATAACTTCTCCCTGTCGCACCCCGAGGCCAATTTCCAGGGCGGGCTGGGCATTTCGCCAGAGAGTTCCTCACCATGTATTACGACCCTGCAGCTTACACGTGACAACAGCTTCACAGATAGAGGGCGGGTCGTTTTCAAAATGTGGCTCTTACCTTAGCGCCGCGCACATGCGTTTTAAAAAGCTGCAAGCGCTTCACGGATTAAGGGCGGGTCGTTTTCAAAATGTGGCCCTCGACTTAACACCGCGCACATCCGTTTCCAAGAATTTGCAAGAGGTTCACGGATTGAGGGCGGGTCGTTTTCAAACTGTGGCTCTCGCTTTGGCGCCGTGCACATTCGGTCTTCAAATTGGCAAGCATTTCGCGGATTCCCAAGATCAACGTACCAGAAATTGCGTTTTCGACGAGTTCAGGCTTCTGCGGGCGCAACAATTATGTTCAGGATTCTGCGGGTTCTGAGGTCCCAAAAACGGCGTTCTGGCCCGATTAGGGATCGTCAAGACGCAGCAGACAGGTTGCTACGTAGCGTTGGAATCCCGAGGACAATGGTTTGGCACGCTTCAGGATATTCAAACTGTTCGCTTCCAACGAGGCAGGTCCCTCAATGGAAATGAACCGTTGTAGGGGCTATGAAGAGGGAGTTTGGA